TTGTTGTGAAAGTAGTCTTTATGACAGGTTTGGTTGAGATTGTGTATGGGATAGGAGATTTTCTTTTCCTGATTTTCCAAGTAGGTTACGAGGTCGAGCTCATATTTTGCGTTGGGGATTTCGTCATTCTGTACCTTTCTTTTGTTGATGAGTTTGAGGCCGCTTCGTCTAAAGGGGCTTTTCGTGGCACGGATCCATAGGATGTGTTTTTCGAGATAATGGTCGAGGAGGTCGTTCCAGCTTTTTTCCGTTTCGTAGTATATACTATATTGGTATTCTGGTTGTTTCTGGTTTTCTCTTATGTCTGCAAAGTGCACGAATCCGGTTCGTTCTCTCCAAGTATTCTGGTGTTTACTGCAGAGATATAATTGTCCGTATAGGAGGGAGGTGGTAATTTCAGAATATATATGGTATGATTTTCCTTCGTCAGGGATACTTCCATGAATGAGAAGGTGTTCGTCGAGTGGAAATTCAATATTTTGTTTGTAGGTGAGGAGGTCTTTGAAGAAATTAGGTCGCAACTTCTGGATATATTCGTTTATATGGACTAGGAGTTGGATGTAGGTTTGAAATTGTGGTTTTTTTGGATAAGTAGAATAAGTGTGTTGTTCTAAATCATCTTCGAAGACTATGTTGAGTGTGGTCGCGTGTCCTGTGTAGTAGTATCAGTTACTGTAGCATCTGGGGCAGAGATAAAAGGTGTCGTTGTATAGAGTATATTCGGTAATTCTTCTAATGTACAGGTGACATCCGACTTTTTTGCGGAGTTTGGATTCTTTTATCATTGGATAGTTAGGGAGTGGGTCATGGGTTTTAACTGAATGTTCAACGTTGATTGCGAGGTGATATGTTTCGAAGTGGTTGGTATAGAGTTTTTTGAATAAATTGAAGTTTGTTTGATATAAGGTTTTTCTAAGTTCTATTTTATCTGTCCACTTATGTTCTCGTGCGTAATTGTATCTATTACATTTTACGTAACAATTAAGGCATCTGATATATTTTTGATCTTTTTTGGTCGTTTAATCTACCCAAATATGGGTCTTATCGTTACAATCGGAACTATAAATGTTTCCACTAACAAAAGAGCTTTTTTTATTATTTGAGGTAAAAAAAAAAGAGTCTTTTAATAAAAATAATAAAAAAAAATATGCGTTGTTATCCTAGTCAGAGAATAGAAGTGGTACAAGATATTGTTTATACGCTTCGAAAAGATTGATGGTTGACAAAAGTTGTTCAGTAAAAAGTTGTTATTACGTAGTTCTTAAGTGAATTATTGGGTTTTGAGGTTTAGGATTGCTTTTGACGAGTTGATACTTGTGTTTCCTGTTCTGTAAGTAGTATTGATAGAGTTTTTTATTGAGCTTTCGTTGGTATTAAAGGTGCCTTCTTGGTGGAGGGTTTTACTATAGCTAATGGTATTGTTCTTTGGTAGGGAAATAGTTGATATCTAAGGGTTAGATAACGATTTTTTCGTCATCATCGTTCTGGGTCGTTGACTTAGGAGTATTCATTTGGGTATCAGAGGTAGAGGCTTGTAAAGAGTTTTCATAAACGGTTTTGAGGATTTGTTGTTGAGTATCTTCAATAGAGTTTTTCTTCTGAAGTATCATCTTGAATTCGACAGATTTCTTTTAATCCTTTATTAGAGTCTTAGGATTTTGACTGGTATTGTAAAACTGTCTGTGTTGGTGTGTAGTATTTCGTTGGTTTTCCGGGTAATTATCCCTAAAATATCTAGTTTTATTACAATTCCAGTATAGTGGCGTGTTGGATTTTGGACCCTTTTTGGGTTTGTTGTGTGGATACTGTTGTCGTGTGTTGTTGAGGTCCATAGGTGCAGGTTTAAAAGTCTGATTGGGGTGCATCTTTCCGTTTTTATCACGTTTCCATTGTCCGTTATTATCCTTTTTATTTTTCTTGCCTCCAAAGTTGTTGGAGTTGTTATTGTTCTTCTTTTTATTGTTATAGGAGGATTGGTTGGTGTGAGTTTTGAAATTGATATTGTTAATTTCGATAGCATATTGTTGCATTTCCATGCAAGTTATATTAGGGAGGTTTTTATCTTTCCGTTTCTTCTCCTGAATGTAGACATATTGTTGGAGCTCAGTCTTGAGTCCTTCTCTTGCTCGGTAGTAAAGATTACCGTCGTTTTATTTAATTAGGACTGCGAGTTTGTTGAATTCTTGAAAATAGTTTCGAGTGGAATTGGTTTGTTTGAGGGAGGTGATGCTTCGTCGTGCACGAGAGACCTTGTCGTCTTCTCTATACTGCTGTTTAAGGAATTTGGTGAAGGCATCGTAGTTGGTTATAACTTTGACAACATGTTCTTCTTGCTCCTTAATGGGTTTGGAACAATGTTGTTGGTAAGTAATGTAAGTTTGTAGGATAATACCTTCAAGGTATATTCCTGCGAAGAAGATTTTGGTTTTATCATCAGGGAATCGTCTGGTTTGGAGTTGGAAATGGGTGTTGAGTTGCTAGAGAAAGTGATCAAGTTTTCCAGGTGTTCTGTTGAACTTAGTTGGGTTGTCAATTTGTGGTGGTTTTATGCTGTTAAGTCGTTTTTGGAGTTTGTTACGTTTTTTTTCTATCTTCACTCCTTTTGAATTTATGATAGAGATTTTGGTGGTGGCTTTTTCGATGTCTTGGTCGTATTTCTTTTGCAAGAATTCCAATTGCATTTGCAATTTTTTGAGGGTTTTAGGAGGGGGGTTTTCTGGTTTGGGGTTGGTGGAGTTTCTTTTTCCACCGTTGTTAGGATTGATGTTCATTTGTTTAGTAGATATGTTTAATGTTGCTAGCAGGTTGTTAATGTCTGTACTGAGTTTTCTTATGTGTCTGTTGCGTGCGTCTTCTTGTGGTCTTTCCACAGGTTGAACTTGAATGTCTAATTTAACTGTTGTAATTTCGTTTTGGGATCCTAGTGGTCTATAAATTCTAATAGACTCTTTGTTTTCTCTGATATCAGTTCTACTTTGTAGTTTGAGACTAGGGCTTACCTAACTTGCTAGTAGTTCGGTTTGTGCTGCAGCGTATCTAACTACTCTTTGATTTACAAGTTGTGCTAAAGTTTTAAGGGGATCGTAGAAGTTTTCTTGACTTTTACTACTTATATCTATGTCTGATAGACCGTAACTTCCCGACATACACTACTTCCTTCCAAGAGTTGGATCGGTTAAAGTGTTACACCTGTCCCAGGATTCTTTGGCAAGGTTTCCTAAAACAGCTTAACACTCTGCTATGTTTCTCAACTCTATATGTTCAGATCTCTTAGAGGGTAGTATAGTATTCGAGGTGAAGATATAAAATTGTATGAATAGAAAGTGTAATACAGTAATTAGCTGTAAAACTAAATACTGTTCAAGTAGATTA